ATGGCGAGAATATGAACTGGCCTAATATGAACGTTAATTTCACCGAAACCTTTAGGCTTTGAACCGAGTTTTCTTACAAAGATCTTAACAAAAGCCGACTGTACATGGAACATAATCACTGCGTAAGATAACTGCCAGGATAACCCCTCTTTTTTGTCATTCTAACAAAATATTTCACTGCATTTTGCTCCCAGATTGCCGTATTTTCAATGCAAATTAATGTTTTGGAAGTTCTCCACTTCATCGCAATGACATAAAAAACGATGTGTCACGTAAGTTTGCCGTGAAATTCTGAAGATTTGAGAAGTTTTATGCTTCTATAAGAATTACCATTTGAAAATTTGAATGAACACAAATTGAGATGGGCAACATTCCGGGTTGTAAATCACTGCTTAACGCTTGGAAAGAATTGTGAGGGTCTAAAAGTATGCAATTCAATTCTTATTTTTTTGACGTACATAAAAGGCCAAGTAGTAAAATGTTTTAAGAAAAGAGTACATGAAACAGCCGTTTTGCTGGCGGGGATTTCCCCCAGCACGCAACGCAAACAGTCAGCTCCCAAATACAATTGCGTACTAATTCAAGTGGCTGTGATCCTGGTAACACGACGCGTCGACGACACATGCAAAACGGTATGCATTTTAGTTTGCCGACCGCACATGCAAGACGCAGAAGGACCTGAAGCACAGACTTCGTGCAAATTTCACCAAGTTAGTGACAAAAGGGGACATTTTGCTGCATCGTACTACTGCAAGTAGTGGTACAGCTTCAACACCTTGGACAAATGGAATTTCCTTCTCCAAGTTGCACATTTAATTTGAATCCCGATGGTCATGACAGTTTGGTATTCGACTAGTGAGGATCCGACGTTGACTCCATCTAGGATCTAGACCACATGCTCCATCGCTTTGCAGGATTATCAGTATTAAAAGAATCGTTTGAAATCATTGAGTGTTTTATAACTGGATAGTAAACTTTTTGGATTAAATACGGACTGATTTTGAGTAGGAGAATGCAGTTAGATAGAATGATAAAATAATGGGGCATAATATTATAGTCACGTCACCATGCATGGTCACTCTGACTAATTTATATAAAAACGCATGGTTTTTTATTAAATATAAAATATCAATATTTATGATTGTATAACAATAAAACGATTTCAAAAATTAGGCATGTGAACAACCTCATCAAATGCAAAATGTAATGAACTAAGTTTGGGGTAAATATTTTGAGAAATGAACATCGCACTGGTTAAAAATTTAATCCCGGCCGGGCCATGCCCGCACCGGTACGTAGGCACAGCTGCCTAATAATAACCTCCCCAGCCCCACTCATACGCCTGCACGGTAAACAGCCGTTGACAACTCCAATCTATCCTGGCCTTTGTGGGAAAGGGTTGGCTCATTGCCAAACAGAGCGTGGGAAACAAGACAAACATGTATATCGTCATGGCTACGAAATTCTACCACCAATGAGAAGACCCGATGCCAACATCCGAGCAAAACTATTTCAGTCGATATGGCTGATAGGTCATAAAAGCGGCACAGCTAGGACCGCCCAAAACTCATCACGGTTGAAATTCATGCGGATTTCTCAAACACTTCCATCATAGCAACATAATTGTCAAGGAAACCAGTGACGTGCAGTGAAGGTCCTCGTAAATATTCATGAGTCAGTTTCTACCGAAAGTCTTCCATAATGATATTGGGTGATTTAAGTTCATCTACTCATGCTCTTTTGTCTGCACAAGATATTGGTGTACTCCTAAAACTCTGAAATAGGCCTACACGACCAAGTGGTTTTCTTGTGCATAGTCATTTTCTACCCTCTGAAAATTCGTTTTTATTCTTTGATTATTTTTAGCTCCCATTAAAAAAAATTGCTCGACCGCAGTAAAACAAACTTTATTATTCGTTGATTTTGATGTCACATTCAGAAGTGAATGACACCATATTATTTCATAAAGAACACAATATATATTTTTAAAAGCATAGAGACTAACTTTATGCTGTATTTTCTAAAGATACTACGTTGTTTAGTTTTCAATATTTCTTACATATTCATTACACGATAGGGCAAGGAACATGATTACACTCATCATTTTTCTTACATTCTAGATTGCGGAAATGAACTCTCTAATACCTCGCACAGTCAAATTAAATTTATGAAAAAGACAATGCGTAATTATGGAACTTCGGTAGGATAATTACTATTTTTGAGGTGTGGGGCATTAATTCTTCGAATGCTTTATTACTCCACATTAATTACAAATAATTATATTACAATGAATACCGAAGGGTCTCTTGATGAAGTCTAAATATTTTTGAGCAACATTTCATATCATTGCCATGACGTGGGGTAATTTGTGATGGTCTCCCCGTCTCGTCAAGTAAATGGTGGCTTCTTGAGTACCTACTCAGAAATCGACAAGGAAATGTTAATACACATGCATATTATATATATTAGGCCAAGCAAATTTTCAATACATAGCAGAATGTTTGATGTCCAAGGAATCCTCATTTAATTAACAATAAGTTGATTTTTAAGTCAGGTTTTTACCAATCATAACAACAAAGTTGCGATTTTATTCCCTGGACCTTTATTCTGTCCGGACGCGCGGGGAAAACACCGCAATGCGGCCAGACACAATGCCACACAACCCATTGCTCGCTACGCGTTTGACACGGTCAAAGTATAGTTCAGATCCCGCTCCACACTGCACAACACAGCAACAGGGATAATACATGCACAAAATACCACGTGTCAAACAAGTCTGACAACGGCCGATCCCGCTCCACACAAAATGCCATCCGCGTACAAAAATACATGCAGTAGTAGACTATCAGTCTGGTTCCAACTCTCGCGACCGTTGTGAGCCACAATTTGCTCGTTTCGCCTCTGTTGTACCATGGAGTTATTTCTCCATGGTTACTTGTACTTATGCCTCTCTATTATTACAATCGAAACCGTCGGATCGAACACGTACGTATTGTACGAAAACTGGCGTTAAACCACCATGTTTTCTTTCGGATAATACCGGAAAAAATTACTTGCTGAAAAGGCTTATACTAGGCCCCCTTGAACTCGAATAAATGTACATTACCGCACAAATATAATACTAGTCACATCACATTCCTTCATGTGCTCACGAGGCCAGGCTCACAACATGGCTAAGTAGTTGCGGTTTTGCAGGTCGGTATTCTGCAGACTGACCGGCCATTCATATTTAAATGATCTCTCTGGCACTGAGCCTGGCCCGGCAGGTCTGCAGAAGATCGGGCATATTCACACCTTTTGTTATTTAAATGAAGCATTCTGGCCCGTGCCAGGACGGGTTGTCAAGGGCTCTTTTGTTAAAAAAGTCTGCAGGATCCTTCAGAAAGATCGGGGTACCGACGCCCATTCATTATCGAGATGGGGCCTTATAGATGAAAAGTGATGTATCGTCATCATAATGTAATCACGTGACATGTGATGTCATAATTCAAAACCCTATGAGAATGTAATCACATATTATATGCCACCATTTATTATAAACAGAACTACACTCCTTCCTGGATGGAACTTATACTTTACATGTCACATCCTTCCTGGATGGAACTTATACTTGAATATATGCCACATATTTGTCAAAAAAAGTTACCGAAACAGCCCTGTGTTTGTCCACAAACATAAATCTAGTTTTTCTTTCTTCTCTTTTAGCCGTGGCCCATAGCATTTGTACACATTTTCATCGTGGAAGGCACTTTGAGCACTAAAATCAGTCCGATTGACTTTATACTTGGCACACACTTAGACCAGCACCTGAAGATGTGTGCGGAACATTGACATCATCATGACGTCATCACGAGTCACCTGACGTCACAATATAGGTCATATTTAGAAGGCCTATATCTCCAGAACTACAGGTCCGATTGGGTTGAAAGTTGGTATGTACCTAGACGGGGATGTTTGAAAATGACATCATGATTATGTCATCATGGGTCATGTGACGTCACGTTAAAGATAAATAAATTCAATCTTTAAAAATCAATATAAAATCAAGCGGGAGAGATCTGAACTTGACGTTTGCGGGAATTGATAGAATAATCCAGAGTCTTCATTTCTGATATTACGTGCAAAATCACGTGACCCTTCCTCCCGGTTGAAACCTGAAGTGCCTTGTAATTTAAAATTGGTAAAAGATGTAAACTTGCTTTCAAAGATGTATGCTCTGGCTAAATTGTTCTTTACAAAAAAGTTAATGGTGACGTCATTAACTGTTAGAGCGCCCTCTAGCGGCAGGTTGAAAACTGTTTAAAATGAATAATCAGTTGATGAGTGTGGCTAAGTTTGCTGAAATAATTTTTAGAACTGATGTTTACAACCTGCTTCATGCCAACAACAAGTTGGGGGGGGGGGGGAGAAAGATTGGTGACGTCACCAGGCCGGAAGTTACAATGAACATACGTTTAAACCTTCAAAAATTGCTGAAAAACCAACCGCGAGAGATTTAATCCAGATTTAATCCAGACCTTCTTTCTGGTTGAAACCGGAAGTGCATTGTAATTTGAACTACAGGTCCGAATGGGTTGAAAGTTGGTATGTACCTAGACCGGAATGTGTTATAGATGAAAATTGATGTGACGTCATGATGACGTCATTACTTGACATGTGACGTCATAATTCAAAGCCCTACGAGAATGTAATCACATTTTATATGCCACCATTTATTATAAACAGAACTACACATCCTTCTTGGATGGAACTTATACTTTATACTCACAAAAATGTTGCCGAAACAGCCCTGTGTTTGTCCACAAACATAAGCAAGTCTAGTTTTCCATTATTTTTTTTCTTATTCAGAAAACAATTACTTGATGTTGTAATTCTAATTTTATTATAGTCTCACCATTTTCCAAAAAGAGAGGAATGCACATAATTCTAGAGAAAGATATTCCCACTCTAAAAATGGATACCTCCTCAGTGGTACAGGTCCCACTTAACTATCTCTTTTTTAATAGTGGGTAGTTCTACACTGAGTCCATACTTAGCACATACCTACCGTAGAGTATACACAGGTCACGGAAATAATTACCTGGGATATGCATGATTCCCTTGTGATGTCTAGTATGTACAGCCCCTGCACTGTGTACCAGCCGAGGAGTCTGCTGCACATAAGGGTTAAAGGAATCTTCTTCCTGTGCTTCAGATATGTTAGAGTGATGGGACATGACCTCTGGCTGGGTGAGGTCAGTCAGTTGGGCTGCATATGCTGTGGCTGGATGATGAACCTGACGGTGTCTGGGTGCACTCCGATGCTCCATTGCACCTGGGCATAAAGGAGAAGAATTTCATTTATCCTCTAATTGCCTATCTGTAGCCCAAAAACATCCAAATGACACTAAAATCCAAAAGTGACCAATTTCCCTGAAAACTTAGCTAAATAAGAAAAAAAAACTAGATGAGTGTACACTACATGTACATACACCCGGAGGACGGACAGACAAAGGGAGAACAACAGATTCTTTGTTGTCCTCAAGCGTTCATCTTTTGTTGAAAACGGTCCTTGCTCGTACGATTATGTGCTTAATCTACGGGAGACTGTTACATTACAGGGACAAAGGAAAACACAATAGGTTGTCCTCGGGCTTTATGTAAAAAATGACTGTACGTACATGTTTGTGATGTACAGAACACACTTAAGACTTTCTTTTGCATTTTGGGTAATATTATCACACCTGGTGATATGTAAAAAGAAAGTGACTAATGCGAATGAAACGTTTATGGAAAGTGGGGGGAAAATGTGTATTATACTCAGACTCACTAACGGATGAAACTCAAGAAATAATTTTTTGTCTCCGTTTCAAGTTATTTATTTCAAACTGTCTTCATTCCGGATTGATTTGGGCAGGCTGGCATCAAGTCATGGGGCTAACAGGCCCAAAAGAAACATTTCAAACACATAATTGACTCCCAGGTCCCGTACATGTACGTTAATTACCACTTGGCTCCCAAGCCAACCATTAATGAATGGGCATGCATGGCCCAGTCCACATCTGTGGGGGACAGCCATGGCAGCGATATAGAAATACAGCACATCCAACCCCTCGGATACGTAAGGGGGAGTGGCTGCCCCTTACAAAGTTCAAATCACATTGTATTACTAAAAACATCAATATCAGTAACAATATCAGTAACATACCCATAAAACTAATGCTACATGTAAAATAATGTGTGTACACGTACATGTACTAGGCATGGGATGTCTTCAAATCCTGTTAAAGAAGCCTCATGTGCGCAGCACCCCCCAGGAGGAAGTAGTCCGATACGTCTGATTTAATATGGATTTATTTTTTTTTGGAAGATAAATCTCTCACAGATGCTACATGCTAAATCTAAAAATTATTGTACCGTATTCTTGGAATCATTCCACATGCATAGTCTGGGACGTGTTATTGATAAAAAAAAACATAATGCGGAAAAGCCCTATGTTCTGTTGCAAACAGACATAGATCTCTAGTCTTTCTTCTTTTTGTCGCCTAAATCCCATAGACTTTGTACACATTTTTTTCTCAACGCCACTTTTGGCATTAATCTTTGTCGTACATCATTCAAAGTCAGCATAGGCATAGTCCTTATAGCATGGTTGTGTCCCGAAGAGTGACGTCATCATGACGTCATCATGGGTCACGTGACGTCGCGTTAAAGATAAATAGATTTAATATTTGAAATTCAGTATAAAATCAGCCATGAGAGACCCAAACTTGATGTTTGTGGGAATTGATAGAATAATCTACGATCTTCATTTTATTTCATGTGAGCACAATCACGTGACCCTTCCTTCCGGTCCAAACCGGAAGTAAGTTAAAGTTTCTTTTAATCTAAAATTGGAAAGAGATGTGAAATTGCTTGCAACGATATAGTGTGTGGCTAGGTTGTACTTTATAAATAAATTACCAGTAACGTCATAACTTGTTAGAGTGCCCTCTAGCGACAGGTTGAAAAAAGTGTAAAATGAATTTTCAGTTGATGTCTGTGGCGAAGTTTGCGGTAATCACTTCAAAATTGTTGTGTATGATGATCTCAATGCAGACAACACCTGTGCGCGAAAAAAAATATGATGACGTCATCACACTGGAATTTATAATAAAAAGACCTATTTTCCTTAAAAACCAACCCTGAGAGCTTTTGTTATATATTTGTGCTTAAATGTCACTTTAAGGTTAGGTACTGCCCCAGCTGGTGAGTTGTAGTATGCTCCCAGTCTGTCTCTCAGCTGCTTGGCCTGCCTGGTACCAAAGTTGCCAGCCTCTGGACACCCCAAATCAGGCATCTGCCCCCCCCCCCCCCCACTCTCTCCAAGGAAGTACGTTATGCTCTGCATCTTCCCAATCGATGACTCGGTTCTGTTCCCCAGGGTAACGTGTACCCATAAGATTATGCAGACATAAACAGGCCATGATGATCCTCTGAACATTCTCTGGTCGCTGAGGCATGGTGGTCAAGAGACATCTGTAATGGTTGGCTAAGATGCCAAAGGCGTTCTCAACGACCCTACATCCCCTGGAACATCTGTAGTTGAATATACAGGTCTGACGGTCAAGGTTCCTCTTGGATTAAGGTTTCATCAGGTGTTTCCAAAGAGCAAATGCGTCATCATTAACGAGGAAGTATGGCACTGAAACCCCTTCTTCATCAACGGGTAGTTGTCTGTCAGGAGGAAAATGCAAGGTGCCGTCTATCTTCCGCCTGAGCTGACCGCCGTTGAAGACTTGGGCATCACTGCAGGCACCGTTACATCCTACATCAACCCACAAGAACTTGTAGGCAGCGTCAACCATGGCAAATAGGATGATGGAGAAAAACTTCTTATAGTTGAAGTAGTAAGAACCAGACTTTGGCAGCTTGATAATGGCCACATGCTTCCCATCAATAGCTCCCAACGTGTGTTGAAAATTCCAACGGTCAGCAAACTGTTGGGCTTTTTCCATCCACTCAGCCTCGGTGGTTGGGCAGTGGATAACATGGTTGTGCTCGTCCATGATGGCCTGGCATACTTCTTGGATGGCAAGGGAAATGGTGTTGTCTGGTACCCTAAAGCAGGCCTTGCGCTAACTTTTTTTCCTGGCTAGCCCACTGGGCTAGTTAACTGGATATTTTACTAGCCCGTTTAGAGTTTTACTAGCCCGTATATAAAAAATAAGGAAACCCAAACATTTGTTATCAGCTTACCAGTGAAGAATTTGACATTTCGGAAAATAAAAGGCTGATGGTATAAATAAATAAAGAGGCATGTATGTCAGTTAAAAGTTATTTTTGTCATACGATTGATCATACGCTCTCTGTGCTCTGTCTTTCCCCTCATTTGGGTTACTTACGTTTGGCAAAAATCGCCACATTTTGCTTGCTTTTGGACCTCCGAATGTGCACGGTGAATGAGAATTTTTTTTTTCAATCAAAGAGGGCGCTGTTTGCAGGCGGCTTTGTGTAGACTTCGTATCAAACGCTTACAAGGACTCCTGCAACGCCCAGTACAGCTAGCTGTGGCCAGTCAAGGTTAGAAAACTTGATAAACGATGTGCACGAGAATAGTGTGAACGTGCGGTACCGCGCCGTACCGTGTGCTATGCTGTTCGTGGCATTCGCGGTCCAGTCGCTTATATCGCCCTATCGCGCGAGTATCACGTTTCGAAAACACAAATAAAAACATCCACAACGACTCAGTTTTTGCGATCGTGTATTTATTATCACCGAAAGCATTATATAGTTTGATCAAAATTTTAACAGGTAGGTTTAATACTGAATTTTTTCACTAGCAACCAAGGAACCAAGTTTAGGTAGCCCAGAGCATTTTTCGCTAGAATTTGTACGCTGGGCTAGTACTCTTTCGAGGCCTGTAAAGCCATGCATGAGTGTCTTGTACCTGTCCCCAGCGGCAAGGTACTTGATGGTGATAGCCACCTTGAGGCCTGCAGGTAGGGCAAGTGGGTAGTTGGTGTCCTTCTTCCTTATCTGAAGTTCTAGTCTCTGGACGACTTCATGGAACATTGCCGGTTCCATCCTCATCACGTTGGTGAAGGTCCGGGGGTCTTCTGCTTCGAGCTCCACCATAAGCTTTTTGTACCAGGCAGAGTCCTATCTGCGGGTAACCTAATCTCGCAACCACAGTCTGATGGGCCCCTCTTCCCGTCGTTCTTCTTCCTCCACTTGTCGCTGGGCCTCTGCCACTGCCACGTCCATCTCAGCATTCACCACCTCGAGACCCATAGCCACGGCTAGCAGCATCATGTCTTCCTCTTCTACAGCCATCCCAGAGTTGTAGATGAAGATGATTGTAGATATGTTCTCTCCTCAGCAGCAAGATGCAAAATGAGAGATGTCGGCGAAGATCAGGCTTTTTATAGCAAAAACATACACAACGGATGGACCTGAGGGCCCCCAAAAAACTGATTTTTAAACTTTTGCATCCACGGACAACTCGAAGTGGCCACGAAATGGCTTCACGTATTGGTGTAAGAGGGGTCTTAATGTCAGGAGCACAGCGGATGTTAGGGTGAAGTTGATCTTGTCGATCTTGAAGAGTGTCCCATTTGAGTTTATTCATCATTGCTGAGATGCTTGACTCCCTGCTGTAGACTATCCTTTCTGAATATCTGGTAAGACGATGGGAAAATTTCTCCATTAGTAATGGTGCTATTTAACCATGATTCGGTACCAGTAACTATATCTGGATCTTCAGTTTCAAGAAGTACGTGGAACCTGTCAAGTTTTGATCTCACACTTGGGCAATTTACATTGATAATCTTGAAGGATTTTGTCTTGGGTTTACATGTTTTCTTCTGTCTGACATTAACAGAACGAGGGTTGGGGCTAGGTCGATGGCCCACACCATGACCGTAGTCCACAGTATCAGAAATCTCCATACTGAAGTCACCACCATTACTACCTGCTAAGGCCTCAAACGAGTTTGACAGATCAAATTGTTCAGTACAGTCAAAAAGGACTGTTTGATATCGATCTTAACTTTTGTTATGAAATGGAGATAAGTTTAATTGCAAATTTAAGGGTCCGTTTTGGAGATGAGATTGATTTTGGCAGGATAAGATTAATTGTAAAGTTTTATGAAACACCCCCCTGCAGGGCTTTTTGAATTACTGCATCATAATGGTCGGTGAAAACATTTCTGAATAGAATGTGTCGTCGGCATACTGCACCAGGCTAGATGACAGATGAAGCTGTAAGTCATTAACAACATACAGCACAAATAGTTGCGGTACTCCTGAAGAAACTGGCAACCAAGCTGAATTGACTCCCTTGTACACAACTCATTGCTCGCGTTTTGTCACAAAAGAATCTATCCAGTCTAGAGCAGCATTGCTGATATTATAACACTGGTGAAGTTTCCTGATGAGGAGGTTGTGAGATATGGTGTCGAATGCGTGACTGAAGTACAACAAAATAAGGTCCATAGCTGGTACTCTTGCGTCCAGTGATCTGAGCCATTCTGAAGATGTCAATAAAGGTGCCGTTGTGTACTAATATACATGTACTAAAATGTGTGCATTAACCCTCCTATGCAAACATACATTCTATTTAAAGTTGTCCTTTCAGTTAAAATCAATAAAGTGACTGTTTTTAACAGTTAAGGATTGATTTGCTGTGACTGTTTATGTAACTTTATACAGCTATGCTTGACTGTATGTGATTGATAAGCTAGTTGTACATGTACCTACCACTTGCCTACTTTTGTCTGTTAACTGAATTTGACTAGTTACAGTGCTTGCTTAAAATACATATATGATCTGACTGTTGGTGACTAGCCTGTGTAAAAGGCATGGAATGGGAGATTGATTGTTTTTCTACCGTCTGTGACTGTTCGCACAGCAGGAGAAATAATATATGATCATGACAGTTTTAAATTTATGTAAATTAGGTACCCTTGCAAAAAAATCAGTGTCATCCCTTCTCAATATGATTTCTAAGGCCAAAAAAGTCAACATGCCAAATTCGGTGCATTGGACCAGCAGGGGATGATACAACCCATACATGTAAGCAGTTTGTTTGGACAGCCATTATATTTTGAACCTTGTGCTATTTTTCATTATTTGGGGATTTTTTTTCTGATTCATCATGAGGTGATATTTCTGTGCACTTACTAGGTATAAGTAATTGGTAAATTTGGCCTCCACACAGCCCATGTGTGTGTGTCTTGGTTTTGTTCCCAACTATACCTTATTCTTTTTAAAGATATCGAACCTGAGTAAGTTGCAGATGATTGCCTTTCATGTCCCTCTCCATCCTTAGTAAGTGGTTGGCTGTAACGTCTTCCAGGGAGTGGGACACCAGTGTTCTCTGACAGCGAGCGGTAGGTGTTGCTTTGCTGGTCCCGCCCAAATCGGAAATCAGAACTCTGAACAGGAAAACCATTAACAAAAAGTTATTAAAATTCTGCACAATCTTAGCAATGAAACTTAAAGCTAATCATGAATTAACAATAGAAGTAGCCACCGATAGGCCGCATCCACTTTACTTTGCTACGGCTGGATACAACACACACGTTTCTATACGAAATGGCTGCATCCACTTCTATAGACGTGTGGTAATTTCCAGCTGTAGCCAAGTAATTCCGATGCAGTGTTACACTGTGTTGAACCTACATTTATAACTGCAGTTAGAATTCAACTTCATCAGCCTTGAACACAGACTAGCCATTAGATAACTTATCTCACCATACCCGTGACCCGACCAAATTGACCTATCGCCGTTTGCAAGTTAGCCACGCCCCTTAGACAACCCTATGGATTTTTTGTACGCTAAGTTTTGTTCATCTCTGATGTTGCATGTTCCACGTCCATTTGTATATCATGTATTTGGACAATATTTCACAATCTCCGTCAGTGTGAGAGGTCTTGAGGCCGGCCTCAGCCTCAAGGCCGATTTTCATGGCCTCGGCCTTGGCCTCGGAGTGCATGGCCTCGGCCTTGGCCTCGGAGTGCAAGGCCTCGGCTTTGGCCTCGGAGCCTTCCGACGACGAATCGGTCGAGGCCGCCCACTTTGATGTGTTATTTCAATTAATTTTAATTTTTACCATATCAAACCTTGGAGAATCTGCCACAGTGGGTTCCGTGAAACTAAAGCAGATACGCACGAATGAACAAACTGGTTATGCGTTGCATTGAACGTACTCACGTATAATGTACGGGGACAACATCACATCTGAGGATCAGAACAGCAAATCACAGGGCACCTCGGTTATTTATGCTGAGTAAGATATGTAAAGCAGCCGCCGGGTCAGTATTACATTCTGCATACACAGTACAGTCCGTAGGCCAAAGGCTGTTGGATGTTCTACTCGGCATTAATAATCGAGGCGCCCTGTGTTTGCTGATCCTCGGATGTGATTTTGTCCCCACATAATTTATGATACGGCCATAGCGCAAGCGCGGCACGTGTGTACGTTAATGAACTGGGTAATTTTTTGTGTGTACACATTCGGAGTTGCACGAAAAATATCTCTTTTTATCTTGTTCGACTTGATTCTTTTCTCAATTTGCATGCATTGAGGATAAATCTACAGTCATAGGTGACTTTTGTTTTGTAATTTGAATGGACACTTCACTTGGCACTTCACATGCATTGAGAACTGCAAAATTATAATTCATCTTCATTAGCCTTGTAAAAACACTAGCAGACAGATCATTTTCACCCACACATATATACAATGAAAATTTACATATTAATGGCCTATGTACGGGGCACAGGGAAAAACGGAGAAACACTGGTTCGTATACTGGCTTGGAAAACTATACAACTAGAAATAAAAATGTGATTATAAAGTCACCCGAATGCAACTTTGTTTTAAAAAATTAAAATATGTTAATGTGGTCTTGGTCTGCACCAACTTCGATCAGATCAAAAACAAAGTTGCATTGTAATAAGAAAAAATAAAAATAAAACAAAAAAAATCATTAAAAATCAACTGATGATGTCATCATGACGTCATTTCAGATTTTGCATACTAGTGCTATTATCTACCTATCCACTAAGTTTCGTGACGATCGGACCTTCCCTTACTTGTGTTTTGAAAAATCGCATTATGACATCATATCACACGTTTCAAAATTGTGTGCATACATGTATATCTATTCCCTAACAACCATAATACAAACTACCGGGTAAAGATACTATGTCTATTTGCAACAGAACATAGGGCTTTTTCGCATTATGTTTAGTAACATTTGTCATTGTGGTATTGGTTGCACAATGTACTAAATTTGAAATCAATTCGATGAAAGTGTAAAATTTTGAAAGCGGAATAAAATTTGAAATATTAAAAAAATCGTAAAAAAACCCCAGATGATGTCATTGTGACGTCATTTCAGATTTTGCACACTCGTGACACTATCTACCTATCCACCAAATTTCATGACATCTACCTTTCCCTTATATGTGTTTTCAAAAATCGCATTTTCGATGACGTCATGATGACGTCACACATTTTTCAAAATTTTGTGTATAAACCTATTATCTACGAACCAAATGCAAAAAGAATTTTGAATTGAGCATGTTGCGTTCTTGAGATATGGCTTAAAGGTCAGAAATTCCATTATTCATATAAAATCGCACGATGACGTCAGAATGACGTCACCTCAATTTTTACCTGTAACACATCCCAGTCTATCTACATACTGAGTTTCAACCCAATCGGACATATACATTGTATTTCTGTAGATATAGGACATCAAAATATACACGTTTGAGATGATGTCACGTGACCCATGATGACGTAATCATGACGTCACGCTTCGGAATTTGAATGATGTACGACAAAGATAGCCTAAATGCCAAAAGTGGCGTGTACTAAAATCGTGTACAAAATCAATGGGATTTGCATGGAACAAAAAGAAAGAAAAACTAGAGATACTTTGTCTGTTTGCAACAGAACATAGGGCTTTTTTGCAGTTTTTGTTTTATATTTTGTATTAATGACGTCATGACACCTTTCTCACGATTTGCCAAACCTATTGTAAAAAAGAAATGAATTTAATGTGTTTTGTTTATTACTTAAAAGTTGGTATGGTTTCAAACTGAAATAACTAAAAGCAAAGGATGTGCTTGCTCCTAGCATGAAACAATAATTGTCAAAATAATGTTCACTTAAGGCAATAAACTAAAGGTGAAGGTGAAACTTAAGGTAAGTTAGGGTAAGGTCTGGTCACTTAAGGTAATAAACTTAAGGTAAGGTGAAACTTTGACACAACTCTAGTCACTTAAGGTAATGAACATGAGATAAACAGTTGCAGGCATACTTCAGTAAACATCTACTTCGCTGGCAATTTCAGTTCACTATTTGACTCTAACCAAATGATTTAAATAAAGATCTCTCACCGTACCTCTGTACACTTTACATACACAATGTAAAACTGTTTTACATGCAAAAGGTTCTCATGAAAATAAACACAACTCTGACTTAAGAGTCTTAAAATACAAAAAAGGGTTTCAGTAACTTTAAACTTTAAGTAACTTTAAACAACAGTTAGTCAAGCAACAACTTTAAATAAATCACGCCCTTAAGGTCATGAAAACAAAACTTAAGTTGTAGTTCTTAAGGTTCTTGATCAAGATGAAACTTAAGATGACTTTGCAGATACATAGCTACTGAAGAACAAAACCGGCAGTGAAGTTGACCTCGTGGTTCTCTCAGTGATTTCTTCGGAAACTTTCACACCGTTCTGGAACCTTGATGTGGTGTGCACCTCCTTGACACGCCGGACCTTTCCAGCCATCATTATCTCCAAGTCGGGGGTGCTGACAGGTACTGCACGCTGTGACCCACATTCATCTCCATGGATTTTGAACACTCTGGCTGAGGCTGGCTTGGGAGATGAGGTGTCCTGCGCAACACCAGTCGCAGGATAAGTGATGTGGTGCTTCTTCTCCTTACACTTCAGGGAACTTCCTTCAAGGACTCGCCCAAGGCTAATCTGCTGGGAAGGGGATACGGCTGCGGTATTACTCGGCTCACCATGAAGCACAACACGCACATCCTCCTCGTCCTGACTTCCACTCTCGGACTTCAGATCTTGAACCATGGACATCATTCCCTTCGGCTTTCCACCAGATCTGTGTTCCAAGGATTGCTTACGTCCTGTGCTTACGTCACTTCTGTAATTCTGATCATCTGAATCTTTGATTAACGATATCGCTGAGGTGGCCGCCGCTGGCGCAGTGGGTTCTTTCTCGCCCGCGTTCGGCTTTGCCCTGCCGGCGCAGGTGCTGTTTCAGTTCTAGCCGGTACTGAGGGTTGCACATGTCCCGCCTGTGCCTCCGGTGTCAAGTTCTCTTGAATTGACTCCTTACTTCCCATCAGCTCATCTGCTCCTGCTAACTCCTCTGTTTCAGGGAGATTGGCTTCCTCAAGTGACTCTACTTCAGGTGAGGCCTGTTTTTCCTGGTCACTACCTTGGCTCACTTCACTTATCTCTTGTAGCTGAGTTTCTGGAGAAACTTGATTTTCTTCCTCCTGACTACTTTTGGCCCAAGGCTTCAATGGTTTTCCCTCATAGGGCTTGAGGCGGTCGCTGGGGACAACCTTCATCTTTCCCCCACTCTTCTGTTGAATCCTATAAGTCGCGTCGGATAGTTTGCCCAGTATCAGGTATGGACCTTCCCACCTGCACATCAACTTTGGAGATACCCCTTTCTCTTTGGCTGGGTTAAACAACCAGCAGAACTTGCCCTTGACGAACTGTTCCTTGCAGACGTTCCTGTCGTAGTGGCGCTTCTGCCTCCTGGCACTCTTCGCAAGGCACTTACGGGCTCTGTCATGAGATCCCTGCATCCTCATCTGCATCTCTTGGGCATAGTCCAAGTCTTGCGTCTCCTCCTCTGCAGATGGTTCCTCAATTGTCAGATCGATTGGAAGGGAATCTTCCCTGCCAAGCATGACCATGTTGGGCGTTTCCCCCATTGATTCCTGTGGAGTACTACGGTACGCCGCTGTTGCAAAAGGCATTGCTAAAATGTTCACTAGTGTCCGATTGAAGGATCTTACAAACTTCGGCAAGTAAGTTCGCCTCAAAGTTCCTTCCCTGGTCGGTGTGCAACATTTTGGGAACTCCAAACCTGCACACGAACTCCTCGACAAATCGCACCGCAACAGTGACCGCCTTTTCATCAGTGATGGGATACGCTTCAAACCATTTACTGAAGTAATCACCGATCACAAGGATGTATCGGTTTCCACTGTTTGTTACAGGGAAGGGCCCACAAATATCCATAGCCACTCACTTGACAGGTACCCCGACTAAATGTTGCTGTAGAGATGACTTTCGCTTCTTGCTCGGCGACTTTCTCTTTGCACACAAGTTGCACTGCCTAATGAAGGACCTGACATCAGCACTCAGACCC